TGCAGACAGCCGGAGGGCGCAAGCTTGCGGGAGACCACAGAGAAAGACTGCAGCTCTTGGTCTCTCACGACTCCTGCCTGGTCCTTTTCCATTTGTGTGGCAGGCAAGGCTGCCTGGGCCTGTCTCTTTCAGGTGCTCCCACATCCCTCATGTCCCTGCCTGACCATGACCCTACCTGTCCCCACAGGTGCACACAGATGTCCAACCACCAGGGCCCCTCATGTGCATGTCCCTGCCTGACCGCGCCCCCACCTGTCCCCACAGGTGCAGACAGCTGTCCTACTCTGAGGGCCTGCCCCAGATCTCTGTAGTCTTCATCTTTGTCAATGAGGCCCTCTCGGTCATCCTGCGATCAGTGCACAGCGTGGTCAACCACACCCCCTCCCAGCTCCTCAAGGAGGTCATCCTGGTGGACGACAACAGTGACAATGGTGAGGTCCTGGGGGGCTGGACAGCAGGGGCAGGGAGGGCTGCCAGTGCAAACCCTCCTGGGGGTCAGACACTCAGCTGCTCACCGAAAGGCTGGGGGTTAGAGTCTACCCAGAGGAAAACGGGGAGAAAGGCCTGCCGACCTGCTCCCATAATATTCCCGCCAAGAATAGCCCTGGGGCAGTTCTGCTCCATGACCCTGGGGGCGCCAGGGGTCGGGGCAACTTGACAGCAGCTGGTAAGCCCTCAGCGTCAGTCGCTGCCCCATCCTGACCTGGATCCTCCTGCCCCTGCCTCTGTTTTCACCACACGCCAAGTTCACTGTCACCTCAGGACTCGGCGTCTCTTCCTGCACCTGCAACTCTCCACCCCTCACCTGCTCCGCCGACCCACAGCAGCTCCTCCCCCCCACGTCATCCCCTTTCCTTGTGTCTCCGTAGCACCTGCCACTCTCTGAGTCCGTCCTGTGTGTTTGCTTGTTTTCTTGCTGGTCCTTCTCTCCCATGAGATCCGGGCCCCCTGAGGGTTGGGGTCTCATCTCTCTCTCTGGGGTTGCCGGGCCGTGAACAGTCTTCAGCCTCACTAGGTCTCCAGGGGGATGATTACAGAACCCAGACCAGGGCCCGCACACAGGTCCCCACCGGCCCTGCCTTGTGGATGCTGGCTCACTGAGATGCTGGCTGCCTCTCTCCCCAGTGGAGCTCAAGTTCAACCTGGACCAGTACGTCCACAAGAGGTACCCCGGCCTTGTGAAGATTGTCCGCAACAGCAAGCGTGAGGGCCTGATCCGAGCCCGGCTGCAGGGCTGGAAGGTGGCCACCGCCCCCGTTGTTGGCTTCTTTGACGCCCACGTGGAGTTCAACACAGGCTGGTGAGGATCAGGGTGGGCTGGGGGCATGCTGGCTGTCCCTGGCGGGCAGGGGGTCTGCAAGCACTTGCTTTATGGGAAAAAGGATCAGGAGGCACAGGCAGGGGTCCTTGAGCCTATCTGTCCCTCTAAATCCTTAAGCTCCCAGAGACCTGGGGGGACGGCTGGGACCGCCATGAGCCCTCATGTCAGATGCCACGTGAAGCTGGTAGGACTTCACTTTTCACTACTGGAAACTCAGTCATCCATCTGCAAACAGCCCCACCTTCCCGGGCTGCCACTGCTTAAGGTTCTGCCTAGTAGCAGACATCTGCACAAAGCCGTCATCTCTGAAGGGTTTTGCTCACGACGTAATTAATCCTCCCCGCCGGGCAGACAGGCAGGGAAACAGCTCCGCTCTCGTTCGGAAGCAGGGAGCGTGAGGTCGGTGTGTGGCTCCTGCCAGGCAGCGTCCCCCACGCGCCTCCATGGCCATCCCTGCCTGAGCCTGACCCCGTCCCCGAGGCTGCTCTGGGCAGCCCTGGTGGGCCCCACCCCTCGCTGCACCATTGTGTGGGGAATTGCAGCTGGACAGAGCTGTCATCCCTGCGGTGACAAGGGACACTCCTGGGAGCCCCTGCAGAGAAGAGTCAGCCATGCGAGCCGATGCCTCGGGGGCACGAAGTCGACTCTGACTCATGGCACCCCGCGTGCATCACGGCCTGACCGCTCCCCAGGCTTCTTCCGAGGCACCTCTGGGTGGTGGACTCCCCCCTCCAGCCTTTCAGTGAGCAGCCCAGGTGGTGTGCACCCAGGGACGTGGTGGTCACTGCAGAAAGTGCACAGCCTCCGGTCACCACACGACCTGCCCCTCTTTCCCCACTGGTCTCACTGCACACCACCACCCCATTTGTGTGCTCCACCTCTAGTCACCCACCCACTCCGCCCACCCCTCCCTGCAGGCTGTGCTCAGTGAAGCCTACACTGTGAACCTATTGACAACTGCAACTTGTAAGCACCCTGACTCACAGCGCCCTACGGGACAGAACTGCCCCTGAGCGCCCTGACATAGCACCCTACAGTGCAGGACAGAACTGCCCCCGAGCGCCCTGACTCGCAGCGCCCTACGGGGCAGGGCAGGACTGTGCCACAGGGGGTCCGAGGCTGTAGGTCTTTATGGAAGTAGATTACCACCTCTTTCTCCTGAGGAGTGGCTGGTGGATTTGAACAGCTGACCTTTCAGTTAGCAAAAAAGCACTTTAAGCACTGCACCATGCCACAAGTGGGAATCTACTCAACGACAACGACAGGGGTTTGGTAAGCAGCCTTGCCTTGGCTCTTTATGGCAGAGCCAACACCTGTCGCCTCCTGACACGGGACACCTTCACAGCGGGTCTGCTCCCAGCAGAGGCACCGTGTACTGCTGTCCACATGGTGCACTGCAGGGCATCTCCAGGGCAGGGCGCCTCACCTCTCTTCTGGAAGGAGGTGGCGCCTGGTGAACACTTCTGAGGGCCGAGGGAACTGGGGTCCCCGGAGGGGCTGAGCGCTGGGCTGGGTGCTCAGCAGGCAGGCGTTAGCTGGAGCTGGCCTCACTCCCGGGGCGGGCTGTTCCCCTGACACCCGTGTGCCTGCAGGGCAGAGCCGGCGCTAACCAGGATCCGGGAGGACCGGCGCCGCATCATCCTGCCGGCCATTGACAACATCAAGTACAGCACGTTCGAGGTGCAGCAGTACGCCAACGCGGCCCACGGCTACAACTGGGGGCTGTGGTGCATGTACATCATCCCACCGCAGGACTGGCTGGACCACGGCGATGAGTCGGCGCCCATCAGGTGAGCGCAGAATCTGCAGGGCCACCGACCGGTACGCGTGGCAGCTGAGCCGCCCAGGAACGGAGCTAAAACCATGGCAGTGCAGGCCGTGAGGGGCCCCGCCAAGTGTGGGGGATGTGTGATGAGGAGGGCTCAGCAGCGGTGACATGACCAGCTGAGGAAAAGCAAGAGAGATGGAGACAGATAGTGAGGGAGATGAGAGCGAGACTGAGAAAGAGCGAGAGAGCTGCAGAGAGGGGAGGAGCCAGACACACAGAGATGGAGGGGGAGGGAGAGTGAGCAGACGGGAGAGGGGCGGAGCCAGACGGGAGAGGGAGGAGCCAGGTGGGAGAGGGGTGGGGCCAGATGGGAGAGGGGCGGAGCCAGATGGGAGCCAGACATACAGACAGAGATGGAGGGGGAGGGAGAGTGAGCAGACAGGAAAGGGGAGGAGCCAGACAGGAGTGGGGAGGAGCCAGACACAGACAGAGATGGAGGGGGAGGGAGAGTGAGCAGATGGGATGGGGTGGAGCCAGATGGGAGAGGGGAGGAGCCAGACAGGAGAGGGAGGAGCCATATGGGAGAGGGGAGGAGCCAGACGGTAGCCAGATACACAGACAGAGATGGAGGGGGAGGGAGAGTGAGCAGACAGGAAAGGGGTGGAGCCAGACAGGAGAAGGAGGAGCCAGACCCACAGACAGGGGGAGGGAGGGCAAGCAGATGGGAGTGGGGAGGGGCAGGAGCAACACGGCCACAACAAGGGATGTCAGAAATGTGGGCAGCGAGCAGACTGGTGGAGACAGTGAGACTGAGAGACATGAAAGCCAAAGACAGAGGCCCGTGGCTATTTAACCCTCTCATGCCCCATAGGATATATATCAACCATTTTCAGGCTCTCAGGTTTCTTGGGAAGGGACTATCCCAGCTGTAGCACATGCTGCCACCTGGCAGGGACCTGTATCACCGTGTGAATCTGAAGAAACAGACCTTGTCCCATAAACCCTACCATCAGAGTCCATTCGGGACATATGTGTCCCACATACTTGTATCAAAATCTTTATTACGTCAAGAGATTTTTCCCCTTGATCTCAGTGTGCCTTCTGTTACTGAAAACACATGGTATCAACAAAAAATTCTAAAATTCGAAGCAGAAAATAATTTGGTCTTCAAAGGGTTAATCAGATTAAAGCAGGTTGTTGTACAAAATGTATTTTAAATCTTGAAAACCTGAGATATTTCCCTTTTTAAAAAATGGATAATTAAAGCACCTCTGGAAAGCTTGGATGGCCTGGGAGCCCAGGCTCTCTTCCCAGGCTGCACTGGCTGGAGCTGAGAGTTTGCTGCAGTCCCCACCACTCCCTGCTGCCTCGCTGACACACTAGCACTGTCCTAACACTGTCATCTTCTTAGCCTTGGATTTACTCATTCCCACCACCAACTGGGCATTGGAGCTTGTGAGCCCCCTCCCAAATCTTCCTGAAAACAAACAAACAAAACTCACTGCCGTTGACTCGGATCCGAGTCATAGTGACCCCTCCTTGGGTTTCCAAGGTGGTATCACTATGGAAGTGGATTGACCAGTCTTCCTTCCTAGGAGTGGCTGGTGGGTTTGAACTGCCAGTCTTCTGGTTAGCAGTCAAATGCTTTAGGCGCTACGCCACCAGGGCTCCTAGCTTTCAGATTAACCCTGAGAAATCACAACAGCCTCCAGTGCCCTCCACTTTCTCCTGGAGGGAGGACCCAGCGGGGCAGAGGTTTTCCAGAACCTCTTAGTCTTGGAGCCCTTCCCCCATGGGCAGGTCTCCCCATTGTGGTGCTGGATTCCAGGGGCTTGTCGGGGACCAGGACCAAGCTAGCCAATAAGCAAGTTATGCAGGAGTCCAGTTGCAGGGCTCAGTTCCCTGGTCCTCCCATGTCAATGATGTGGTGGAACCATGTGAAAGTGGTCACCACAGATTAGCAAGGACATGCAATTCAGCCCATGTGGACCTTGCTCAGGGCCACGCTGCTGGCTGGTTCATCCAGCCCTGGGCGGCACCCCCTTGCTGCCGATCTGCACGGAGAGCTGCGTCCCTGCTGGAGTGCTGCTGAAGCAAGCCACCTCACCACGAGGACCTGGGACCGCCCCTCATTGAGTCTGTGGAGGAGGGTCTCGTGGGATCGGCGGGAGAACCACTCGCCTGGGGAGTCTGTCCAGGCCTGGGGCTGCCCCACAGGGCTCAGGGCTGCGTGCACGTCTGCACCCCGAGACAGAACTACAGCCTGTGATAAAGACCGAGCTGTCTGGATGCTCAGCAGGGAGGGTAGTGGGCATCAGTGGCGACATCTCTCGTCTCCCTGGCAGGGGCTTGCTTAAACATCTAAGACTCCAGAGAGCACCCAGCCAAGTGGGCTAACTGCTCCCAGAGCCTGCACACAGCAGCCAGCCAGAGTGAGCAGGTGCTGGGTCTCCCGGGCTTTGCAGTAAAACCTCAGTCCAGAGCTCATCCTTGTCGAAACAGCAGACAGATGGGTCCCTAGGGAGCCACTGGGAGCAGGAACCGGTGGTTGGAAGGTGGTGGTTCTTCATTCAAAAGGCACTTGATAATCCCCAATTAGCAGCAAAACAAATGTTTCCTGATCTGAGGAGCCAGGGAGACTGGGAACACCATCCCAGTCCTGAGGCCCACGGCCACAGGAAGCGGCGCCCTCCCACCCGGGGCTCCTGTCAGGCTGGCGGGCAGCGGATCCTGGACTCGGTCCTCGGCAGCATCACTGGGGCCCTTAAACAGCCCTGACGCCAGCAACCCCGCCGAACACGGGCCAAAGACCCAAACAGAAGCCTTCACCAAGGAAGACAGACAAACGGCCACCAAGCTCATGAAAAGTGCTCAGCATGGTCAGTCGGCAGGGAAACACCAGTCCCATCACAATGGGATGCTGCTCCCCAGGGGCGTCAACAGGGCTGGTGCCACCCCCCACAGACCTCCTCCTGTGCCAGGCCATACAGAGTCCATGGGTACCACCCCCAGGAGCATCAACAGGGTTGGTGCCACCCCCCACAGACCTCCTCCTGTGCCAGGCCATTCAGAGTCCAGGGGTTCCACCCCCAGGGGCGTCAACAGGGCTGGTGCCACCCCCCACAGACCTCCTCCTGTGCCAGGCCATACAGAGTCCAGGGGTACCTCCCCAGGGGCGTCAACAGGGTTGGTGCCACCCCCCACAGACCTCCTCCTGTGCCAGGCCATACAGAATCCATTTTCATGATCATTACCCATGTTCACCGTAGCACCGTGTGATGGAGCTGTGAGTCGGTGAAATGTGACATTTCTGACTGTCTGGTACCCACCAGCCACTCCTCAGGAGGAAGGTTGGGCAATCTACTTCCATAGTGATACTGCCTTGGAAACCCCAGGAGGGGTCGCTGTGACTCGGGTCTGACTTGATGGCGCATAACAGTAACAGCAACAGGATAGTAACAAGTCTGTCTTGTGAGGTCTTTCTGCACTGAATCACAATATGACCAGTCGTACTACTAGTAACCGAGCAGACACTGTGTTTGCTGTTGCTTTTCCTTTAATGACAATTTCATTCTCAAGAAAGGAGTTGCCAGAGCTTCACCAATGTACAGCATTGTGACTAAAACACCAGGAAACTGTACAAAGCCAGCAACAAAAGAACACCAGAAGGAATGAAAAGAGCAGTGTGTGCCTGTCATATGTGCAGACGGAACCGCATGAGTCCCACCCTCACTGTCACTGGGTGGTAATGACATCTGTGGCCGGAGCACATGAGAAGGTTCAAAAAGTCAATTAGCGTGGAGCTTAAGCTTTTGTTATGACTGACTACAGGGATATTTCAATGAAAAATAAATTTCTGCTGAAATCTGCACAAAGATTTTACAGGCAGTCATTCTGCTGTCACCCTCTGGCCTTGTCACCTGGTGTGGCCCGCACCCCTCTAGTGAAACCACTGTCACTGCAGACCCATTGTAAACAGCCAGCTGCCTCCCGGGTGACTCCAGCCCATGGTGACCCCGTGTCTGTTCGAGTGGAACTGGGCTCCATGAGGGTTTCAGGGGCTGGTCTTTCGGAAGCAGATCACCAGACACCTTGGGGTGGACTCAAACCTCCAACCTTGCATTTAGCGGCTGAGTGAGCTGACTATCTGTGCTGCCCAGGGACTGCACAGACCTGCTACACTGGCTAAAATCCAAAGGCAGACAATACTAAGTGTCAGCAGAACATGGAGCAGCCAGAGCTCTCAGACATGGCTGCTGGATGTGGTGCACCTATTTTGGAAAAGTGTTTGGCTGTTTCTTATAAAATTAAAAAACATTTACCACATGATCTAGCCATCCTACTCCTCGGTATTGGTCCCCCAGAATGGAAGCATGATTTATGGATTGAATTATGTCCCCCTAAAATGTATGCTGAAGTCCTAACCCAGGTTTGGAAGTCGAGTGGTCTCTGTTATGTTAATGAGGTCATATCAGAGTAGGGGGTTCCTAAACCCAACTCCTTCTGAGTGGTGTCTTATACAGGGAGGAGAGACACACAGAGGGGAAGACAGGTGTCATGTAATGGGCCGAGAGAAATCTACCAACCCAATGATCCCAGTATTGCCTCAGCTCAAAGAAGAAGAAGCCCCTCCCCTAGAGTCGACCCCTGATTTTCGCCTGCTGGCCTTTGGAGCTGTAGTTTGGGGCCAATCGGTTTATGATGCCTTGTTCTGGCAGCTCCAGGATGTCGAGGGCAGGCCCTGTTGACAAGCCTTGCTTTAAGGGCTGGAGACCAGGTCTGCTAGGGCAGCTGGATGGAAGGGGGGGGCTACAGCATGTCATGCCAGAGAACAGAGCCAATCACAGCTGTCTCAAGATGAGACTATGTTGAGTGGTGGGGACAACTGCCAGGGCAGACTATGCAGGCATGCCTCAGGTCCACAAAGCTTTGTCAACTGTAGCTACCCCCAAGATATATGTCCTCTGTGTGCCCGAACATAGCCACATTGGGGAGTCGACGTCTGGAAAGGTCTGCTAGAGG